AATTGTAAAAGCCCAGTTGTATGTGTGCAAATCAGCTGAAGGAACTAGGTTTGTACAAAAGAGTCTGAACAAAGACTTTGCTCAATGGAACTTTATTATGAGTAATGATGCAGAGAAAAAAAGGTCCCAATTTAACTCTCATATATCAGGCTGAAATAGCAGGGCTGGCATTAAGATTTTTTAGCTACTTGTCTATCCACATCTTCCTAGGCAGACAGGAAGATCGTGAACATCAGTATGTGCATAGCTCTGGCTTGGCACCAGGCAATATACCAGGAGATTTTTCAACATTTGTAGCCAAAGCCAGGGCAAGACTGAAGATGGTTTGAAATCCAAGCTTTCCCCATTCAGCTGCTCTTCTCTACTTGCTCCAAGCATGTCATTGGTTTGTCTCAATATTTTTGATCTCTCTCCCTAGCTCCTCTCCCTCCTCCTCTCTCTCCCTCACAAAAAAATAGCAAGGTTCAAATCAATATAGCTTGGGAAAGAGAACATTTATTCTGTAAAATATACTCAGTGCAGTATTAGTTAATCTGGCCAAAGCTATTTATACAGATAAAGATGGAATGAATTTTGCAGAGAGGATATCACGCAAATTCTGTCTGCATATTGTCTGAGCAATAGCGCTCTTTTTTTTTTCCAGGTTTAAATCCCCGTTTATATGCTCCTGTTGTCTAGTTATCAATAAGAATTTAATATCATGAGAAGAAATGGAAACAGGTAGCTAGACATGTCTTTTCTGTTCGAAGTCATGTAGCATAGAAGAGTCTATTCTGTTAATAGTTATCACTGCTTTGCAAAGACAATGATATCAGTAATCCAATACAGCTAAAAAAAAAAGACCTTTTGCCAAATAAATATCCTTTTAGCATGTTCATTAATGACCCAGGTTTCCATCAGCTGAGTGCTGCCTTGGTTTTTCAGTAGTTCTTTCTTAAGAATTATCCCCATCTTGTTATTTTAGAGATTTGAAAAGTAGTTTACAATGTAATGCCTTTGACTTATGACATTAGCCTACCTTTATCTGACAGACTTTAAAAAAAAAAAGAAATCCCAAAAATGCATGAAACCAACCAAAAATACATGACAATGTGACTCAGAATGCCATGAAATTAGCTCAGATTGTCAGACATGGAGTTTAAGGACTATTTTTTTAGAAAGGAAAACAGAAGAAGAGTTCCAGGTTAGAGTCCACCATTATTCATCTATAATGAAAACTGTTGCAATCCTAAAATGAATTTCCAGGGGGAAATGATGAACTAGAAATAGAACAAAGGTACGGTTCCAAATCAGCTGCCTGTTTACTAGGGGATATGAGATAGGAGGAGCCAGAATGTGAAACCCCTTCAATAGCAGTTGTAAATCCTATTTATTGTCTTCTTGTTTATTATCTTCATGGCAGGGTGGCACCTTAGAGACCCACTCAGTCAGAGGGGCATAAATTATTGTCGGTGACATTCTTGTTCATCAGATCTTAAAGATGATCTGTTGGATTACACGCTCCTGTTTTTGAAAGCATTGCATGTTGCTGGCAGGAACAAAGCAATTGCATTTTGTGACAAACTGCTGTTTTAACTCCTTTTTTTATTCTCAGGGCCCAGGACTCAGGGCATCTCCTTGGGATGTCAGACCCAGGTTCAGATCCCTGCTGTGCCTGATTGGGAGTTGAGATTTCAACAGGACTCACTCCCATCCCAAGTCTACAGCATAGGTGCTGAACTGTTGAGCTAGCCTCTTGTTCTGTCCTCTTGGAGCTGTTCTACTTTCTATAATTAAAAAAAAGCCCAATGTATGTTGGTGCAGAGAGAGCACATCTACATCTATGACCTGGGCTATGTGTAGATGAAACAAGAGGCGTGTGCGCATGACACTTTAAAGCGGGCTAAATGCTTTTGTACTGCTTTAATGGTGTTGGTGTTTGCAGTGGTGTATTGCACATTAATTCCAGCCGCTGTAGCAAATTTGGTGGCATAATGCGCCTTAAATGACTTGGGGTGCAGCAAATTAAAACTCCTTGGAGGAGTTTTAGTTTGCTGCCCTACCAGCTGTGGAGCGAAGCACCGGGCTCTGTACGGCTTAGGGGTTCTGCAGGAAGCCCTGCAGGCAGCCTGGCAGCAGCCCGGGAAGGCAGGCTCCACCCAAGAGAGGGGAAAAAAAGCATTGAGCCTGATCTTTGTTTGTTTGTTTTTCCCCTGGAGCCTGCCTGCCTGCAACCCATAGTTGGAGCAGGGGAAGAGTAGCTCTGGGTCTCCCCATGTGTCTGTGTTAACCAGAGGCAGAAATGGCTGGGGGCAGGGTGGCTCCTTCAGTGCCTTCTCCCAGCCAGCAAGGAACATGATTGGAGTGGGGAGCAGGTGCAGGAAGGGGCAGCCCATCCCCTGCTACTGCTGTCCCCTGCCAAGTCTGGCACTTGTGCAATAGTGGCCCACAGCTGGAGCGGGGCAGGAGCAGCTCTGAGGGTACCTCTGTTCCCGAGTCAGCTGGGGATGGTGGTAGCAGAAAGAGGGTGCAACTGCACTGCCATGTCCCACCTCCCCCCTCAATCCACTTCTGGAGCCAGATGGACCTTTGATCTGACCCAGGATAGCTCTGATGTTCTGAGAAAGGGGGAGTGTTAGATGCTTTCCTGGAAGAGCGAAAACATTTATTGCAATAAAGCTATAAGTGACTTATTACAGTCGCTCATCTCTGCGCTTGTCAGAATCCCACTTCCCCCATGCAATAAAGGGAGGAATGGCTGCTCTTGGTCCTTCTTAAGACGGCTGGTCTCCTCTCTGGTCAGAGCCCCTGTGGGCGGCACGCTGTCCTCACACTCCAGCTGCCCTGTCCTGAGAGACGACACCAGTGAGTGTCAGAGCAAAATCAAGAGACAGATTTTTTTTCTCCAGCTTTACTGCTGATCTGTGCCACGGACAGATCCAGACAACCTTTGTCCTAGTCTTTTGTTCACCATCCTCTTACGACTGACTCCCTGGCCAGAGTGCAGGATTGTCAGCCAGGAACAAGGGTCAGAAGTGGCCTCTCACAATGGTACAGTTAACATCATTACAAATAAATATAATCCTATTTGGATCTTGGTTTAAGAATTTACTACTTCTGGGATGTGAATTATAATGACATCTGTCTGTCTGCCTCATTGCTGAGGATACAGGCTACGCTAATAGCCCAGCTGTTTTAAAGTCAAATTCACCTTAACAGAACTCCTTTGAAATGAATTATTTTGCCCCCTTCCCACATCTTTGCTAATTTGATGGCATCAGTTATACCCCAAAATGAGCCTTTTTCTTAAATACAGCAAACAGCTCCCTTCACTGCCTCCAACTTCTCTTGCAGTGATCATGCCAAACATTGCTGTAATGTATAGGGCCAAGCAAATTATTTCTGAAGCAGAATTATTAAACTCTGATCTTGCTTAATCCCTGTGTAAACATTTGAGGCAGAAAAATATGCTTTAATCTAGTTTCAGTTCTACGTTGTTTTGCAGAATAATCTGTAAATAATTCAGTTTCCAGATGCTAAGTGTTATTGAGGTTTTACGATAGGACTAAAGCAAATCAGACAAAGATGCGTTTCATTTAGTAGGGTGTGTGTTTGTTTTTTAAATGGAGGCTTTGGGAAAAGAGTGTGGCACCACTGCTGCTAAAATATAGAGGAACCATCTTCTATTCAGACCACCTGCCTCCTGTATTTTGAAATATAAGCTTTGTTCCATCAGAAGCAGCAGCTGGCACTTATCAATGCCATGTTATTTTATGTCCATAGCTAAAGTAGTTTCAGTGGTGCCACCTTTAAACAACCTTTTGCAGCCGGGAAAGGACAAGCATAGAATAGTGCAGTTCCAGTAATGGAAAAGCAGTGCTCTACGCTTGTCCTTTCACAGCATCTGATGCAGCATCTGTCCTTTAATCAGCTTATGCTCTCTGTGTGTGGTAGATAGTTTATAAAGTGCAAGTCGACCCTGCCTTCTGCCTAGCTTCAGACTAACACAGATAACTAGTGTACCTCATTATTTTTTATGCCAGGCTTAAAAAAAATCCCATTATTTCTCCCTGGCCTTTTGCTGCTGCCCACCTTGACATTGCCCAAGGTGGGAGAGATGTTGGACAAACTTTCCAGCATCTAGTGCCCTTCATCAGGTCCTGGCTGGATCTCTGGTGCACTAAAATCCAGATGCACTATCCCACCATGTCCTTCAAGTATGGGATCATCTTTCCTGCCTAGATTTCTCTTTCCAAACTCCTGAAGCACTTCATGTTGCATTCATGACTCGTACATCTTCAGGCGTCTAAGTCTGATGTATGATGCTCTCTCCCATGTAGTTTCATCAGACCATCACACTAAATTCAAGGAGAATTCCACTCCAGAGACCAAACTTTGGCACCACCAAGGAAACTAGAATGAAACTATGCCTGCAAAAACAAACAGACAAAAAAAACACTTCCTACAATGCGCCTCTTGGATTTCAGAGTCTATTGGGAGAAGAGAATCCTGATCCCAGCAAAGTCAGCTGGCAAAACTATTGACTTTAGATACGGCCACAATTTCATTTCAGGCTTCTAAAATAAACCAGGATCATTCTGTTGTTGTGCTGCCCCAATCTCCATCACCTTCCTCTTTGCATTTTGTTTTGGTAACACGGTAGTTCAGACCTCATTGAACATTTAGGCATAAACCAAAAAGATTTTTTTCCTACTTCTCTTGTGTGTAACTTCAATTCAGTAGATGTATACCTCCTTCTTCCATTGTTCCCTCTTGTAGGAAATGCCTACAGGCCCCTCACTGCACATATTGCACATTCTTGCTTCCAGCTCTTCTTCTTTTAGGTATGGCCTCGTATTAAGAAGCATTGAGCCCTGCAGCTCCCATGATTCTAGCTATTGTTTAAAATAATTTGAAACTTAAATGCTTTATTTAAAACATTCACTATAGCCCTCCTCCCTTCAAAGCAAGGAAATGCATGGGGAGGCTTCATTATTATTATGTGTATTTTTCAGTTCAAGCCTGGAGCTCCTACCCGATGTTCAGTATGGATTTGGGCTGCCATTTTACCCCCAGTATGAAGGACAATTTACTCTGGAAGAAAAAAGCCTTTCCTTAAAAATAATGGAGTATATAGCCAACTTTGTGAAATCTGGGTAAGTTACTTTAATTATATTATAATTTAATTATATTCAATTTTGAGGATTGAGAGGTATATCATAAAAAGCCAAGTTAAGGCAGAAGATGCCTTTATTCGAGTAATCCCTGTCCACCTAGGCAAGGCTTTGACCATTTGTGTTTGAAGGATGTGGCCAAATTTTCAAACCTAAAATTCTGGCACATACAAATTCCATTGAAAAGAAAAAAGGAGCTCCAGCTGTCATGACATAGTTTATAGAGCTTTATTTAGGTAACTGTGTCTGAACATTGTGATCTCAAGTTCTTGTTCAGAACAATGGGAAAACCACAGGCAGATGTGGGATAACCTTTACTACACTGCCTGGCAAATAACCCCCGACGCTAGTCTAATGAATTATGTCCATGTATAATGGCTAGCGCTAGATCCAAATGAGGGCGTCCACTTGGAAACTATAGCTTTATATGTCCAAAGATTGTTTTGATTCTTAACTCCTGCTGAGGTGGCTGACGAGCGTGCTAGCTCTGATGGTATTTGTGTGATGAGTGCCTAGCCATTAGGAACTGAACACAGGCCAACAAACCATTGTCAGAAGATAATGGTTACAATTTCTATCAGTCTGGGATGAATTTGAACTAGAGAACCAGAAGTGAAAAGTACTATTTCTGCATTCCCTAGAGCCGCCAGCCAATTCTCTTCCTTCCCAATGACGTTTAATAAGCCAATAATGTTTCATGCCATTGTTTTGTTACAATCATTTCTATTTCTTTTTGTTCAGAGATCCAAATTACCCTCGTAGCTTCTCAAGTAAACTCACAAGGTCTGTGTCCATATGGCCCATGTTCCTGCCACATGCTAACGGCGATAACTACAAGGAGTTCACTGTTTCCTTACCGAACCGCAAAGGATTGAAAAAAGCAGAATGTTCTTTCTGGTCTGATTATATTGAAACACTCAAAGAATCTACAGGTAAGCAGACAATATTTTGTCGTTTTGTAAGAGACAGAGTGTCATCATAAAGTCTTCCCAGTCATGTCAAACCTTAACACCATGACAACAGCAGTCTTGCTGCACAAATTGCTGCCTGCCCCCATAAGAAGAAAAATCTCTGCCCAGATTAGTTATGGAAAACATAGCCCCAGATTAGTTATGGAAAACGTAGCCCTCCATATGACTGCTCTTTAGTTAGTCTATAAGGTGCATCTCTACCTTGCCTTCTGCTGTTTTCAGTCATAAGGTGGATGTTGTCTAAAGACAAAGGCTCATCATACCTGATTATGCAATACTGCCACTTTTAACTAATGAGAAGTGCTCAGATACTGAAGTGTTGATAACCCAATAGGTTGTGAGTGCATAGGTAAACTGTAGAGGCAGAAGCATAGATGAAGGAACCTTTCTCTTCAGTAAGGTTGCAACAAGACTGCTTAGCATGTAGAACCCAGAGCATGTACACATCCTCCTTGTGCTCCCAAGTACAAATTGTATGCATAGTAGCATCCTTTGTGGCTGGGCAGGCACCCTGTAAGTCTTCATGTTTTCATGCAAGAGCATAAAAGCCAGAGCAGCTGTGACCTTGTCCCTCCTATCACTCATGTCTGTGCAAACAAAAATGGTATGCATTACAATGATGATCCTCTGACTCATTATTCGGGTGACCAAATCCTTCCTTTGTTAACTAATTTGGTAGCATTAAAGTGATGTTGTAGCCATATATTCCAGGAATTATGACACTGGCAAAGATTTCTTAGGGTGATATTCTTTATTGGACCAACTGCATAGTTAGGATAGAGTTTTTCCACCTCCTGGTTCTGTCTATGCTACAATTCTCTGAGCTTGAAGAAATAGTCCTATACATGACCTATCCTAAAAGACTTGTACTGGCGAAGACATTTAACCAGGATTCATGATCTTAACACTATTTTTAAAAGCATCTGATTGAATATGGACCATCTCTCCAATCTATCCAAGTAATTCTGGATTCTAGCTTCCAGAATCAAACCTCCAGGATATAGGATTATATGGAACAATTTATCTGCATGTATTTAAAATTATGGGCAGATAGATGTAATAATCATGAGACATTACATTGCTGTAGCAACAAGCTACTGTGCTGTAGCTCATTGCTATGGTGGCATAACATTGCCAGGCATGAAGTGTGACACCAATGCTACTGTGCAGTAGCAATGCGCTACTGCGCAGTAGGTCATTGCTACTGCGCAGTAGCAGCTAAAAATAGCCATGTGGCAACGGGACTGCACGGTAGCTTGCCTAAGCAAGTACTAAATGACTGTGTAGTAACAAATGCACAGTCTGCTGCATGTGTAGATATGCCCACTGATTAGCAAACTATGTATGGAGGGGACAGTTGAGTTAGGATTAGGCAGGCCATAATGTTTAAAAAGTTTTGGGTTTGACCAAACTTTCCCAGGACTGATTTTCATTGTAAACCTAGAGGCAGCTTTGATGTTTGGGTTCCTGGTTGTTTGGTGTTCCTCAAAACCAGAAGTGAAACTAGTGGCCATAAAGGAAAAAATTGTGGAATGCTTATGGATATATAGACATCTGTATTGCACTCTAGGGTGGGCTGCATTACAGAATACTGAGCTCATCCCCAGAAGCAGGATAGGTGGAATGCAGACATTCAAAAAGCCTGAGTCTGAATTGATTCAATATTTGCAGGTTAGTCTAACCTGGCTAGGCTGAACCAGTTTGTAACTGTACAGACATCCCCTCTCGACTGAGGAAATTCAGGCACATGCCTGCAGTGGCTTGGGCTAGAAGCTGGGGGATGCTAAGCTGCCCTCCCTTCCCTTCCACAGGGCTGAGCTGAGGAGGGCATGGCCAGGCCCTATTAGGGCACTCTGATTAGGGAAGGGTTCCCTCCCACCCCTTCTTGATAACAGAGCATTTATCAGCTCTGTTATCATCATTTAGCACCCCATCAGGAAACAAAGCCTCTCTCATTGGTTCAAACTCTTCTTAAACAACTTTTTCCAGGGAATGGAGCATTCCAAGGAGGGCCATAACCAGGTACCTGTTAATTAGCTCCAAAAAGCCCTAAGCTGACACTGTCATGTCTGCCTTACACAGACACCTCTTAGCATTAGGTAGCATAACACATGCTGGCTACCGTTCTTGCTGTGGGAGAGAGGAAGGAGGGATCCCTGCTTGAGCAGCAAGTGGTGCTGGGGGTCGAGGGATGGGGCAGGGTAAGCCAGGCAGACCCTGCTGTGCCTGCAAGTCTCTGCTGAAGCTCCAGCCAGGGAGCAGAGGGAAGGGGCCAGCCCTGCTGTGGATCAGAGTGCTCCACCCAGCCCAGAGAGCATGCTGGGATGCTGGGGCAGTCTGATTTAACTTAAACCAGCAAGGAGTCTGGGACAGACATTACATAAACCGGTTTGACCCAAATCAGTTAAGTCTGATACTACATTTAACCAGGTTTATCTCAAACCAGTTTCAGCCATTTTAAGACTGGCTTATGTGCACTGAACATCTGTTCTGTTACAGGTTTAAACCAGTTTCATAGATTCATAGATGTTAGGGTCGGAAGGGACCTCAATAGATCATCGAGTCCGACCCCTGCATAAGCAGGAAAGAGTGCTGGGTCTAGCCCCCAGCTAGATACTCATCTAACCTCCTCTTGAAGACCCCCAGGGTAGGGGAGAGCACCACCTCCCTTGGGAGCCCGTTCCAGACCCTGGCCACTCGAACTGTGAAGAAGTTCTTCCTAATGTCCAATCTAAATCTGCTCTCTGCTAGCTTGTGGCCATTATTAATGATCACTTAAACCGGTTTATGTCTATTGTCTGTCCCTAGCCATATTGGCCTGCCACACAAACATATTCTGGTTAAGCTACATGAAATGTAAACACACAACCAAACCAAGCCCTCCAGTGACCTCTGCTTGGACAGTATCCTGGATGCAAACTCCATCTGTGAAACAAGGTTGCAGACAGTAAGCCACTGACTTGCTGGAAATTAAATTATACATTCCAGGGACAGTTATTTAAAATATGTTAGTATCCTGGTCATTCATTTAGCATTAATTGAGCTGCCATTTCTTTAATGCTACTTGGGGCTACTAAATGAAAATTGGCTGCCTTCAATGTTTACAGATGTATAAAAATGTTCTTGTTAAACTGTCGTTAATAAAGCATCTTACTCTCATCTCAGCCTGCAGTGTTCAAATGCTGCATCAATAAAAATGGTATGTTTATTTTAATTTTTTCTATATTCTGGTTTCAGGCAAAACAGCTAATGGACAGCAATCTACTGAAAGCAGCCTGGGTCAAGAATCAAGTGTAAGGGTTAATTCTCAAGACACACCCAGCCAATCAGGGGAAGACAAAGTGGCTTATAGCAAATAGAATATTATGCTGAAGTGTAGATTGGTTGATCTGTGCAGCTGTGTCACACACACAGGTACAGTCGCTTCCATTATTGTAACATTTTTAGGATCTTGAACAAGCTACCAGCAGCCTTCAGCAAACTTCCTCATTCAGTTTAACTTTGCATCCGGCTAAGTAAAATACTCAGAAAGAGTCAAGCATAATAATCTATCGGCTATCCTTTTAGACTAAAATAAACTGTACTTTACACTGTAAGGACATTTCTCAATAAAACTGCAATAAAAAAAAAGACCTGAGTTTGTTGCTTGCAATCATGAAAAAGGCTATGCTGCTGTCATGGCATCCTCTACCTCAGAGATTCTCAACCAGGGTGCCATAGCACCCAGGTGTGCCTGCAGATCCTTTCAAAGGCACCACACAATCTTAGCACTGTTAGGTTTACAAGCACGATTCACTAGATAAATCCAAATATTTCTAACAGAAACCCATAGCTGTGGTCTTTCTCAGTTCTTTGCAACAGAAAAACCGTTCTATTCTATTTTTGTTGTCAAGAAAAAGAAAACTAAGAACTGGCATTATCTTGGAAGTGACTCAAGTTTATCCAGGGGTGATTCACAGGTTCGCAGAAGTTTAGGGCTGGAAGGGACCTCGTGAGATCATTGGGTCCAGCCCCCGGGCTCTGGGCAGGAAAGACTGCTGGGGGCAAATAATCTCAGCAAAGTTTTTGTCCAGTCTCCTTTTGAACATCTCCAGGGTAGGTGTCTCAAGCAACAGACTAGGAGCACCGCTCAAGCACCATGCCCGCGGGGAGTCTCTTCCAGAGTTTGGTCACATGAACCAGGTGCCACGAGTCTAAAAAGGTTGGGACCCATGCTCTACATGAACAGCATTTGCCCTCAACCACTGAGGGGTCTGTGAGCAAAGTTAAACTTTCCTGCCTAGAGGTGTGAACAGACTTAACACTTACACTGGTTAAATGCGGTTAAAATCTCAAGTGTCCAGGTGTGCCAACCAGTTTAGGATGGTTTAAACCTCCTGAACTATTTCAGAAGTATACCTGGATAATCAGGTGGAGCTTTCCATGACTCGTGCCTGGTTGGACCTCTAGGCATCCCACGCTGTACCACTCCTGACCCCCACACCAATACCCACACAATACGTAGCCAGAACTCTGACTGCAGCTTCCCTGGCCGGGGGCAGCTCTCAGCCACTTTTAAAAAGCAGGCCGGTTCCCTTCCACTGGTGGCAGCTGACCAGGATTCTAGAAATTAGGGGTTTATTTGGGGTGGGAGATGGCCAGGTGAGGGGAGGAGCTGCCTGGAGCCCTGCTTCTGTGTGCCTGGGAGGCTGTCCAAGTTGTCCAGTGCCACCAATGCAATAACACTGACCAGCTCTTTAAGCAGAGAGAGGTAGCAAGCCATGTTCATCTGAAGTCAGGCAGAAGGCAGAGTAGAGATGCACCATATAGACTAACAAAATAAGATACGTAGCAAACACAAGCTTTTGTGAACTTGAGTTCATTTGGTCAAATGCTGTGCAAGGACAGCACCGAGCAGGGTATCACGTGGAGCGAGTGATTTGAATTTAGAAGCCGGGGAAAGAGGAGGTAGAGGAAGGGGGCAGGGGGACAGTGGTGGGAGAAGCAAACAAGCAAAGAACCCATAGGAACAAAGGAGACAAAAAAGCTGATCCAGGTAATAGGGTACGAATCCATAGTCCCCGTCTAAACCTTACTTGATACGTTCTAGTCTGTGGATAATTTCTTGATCCGCAGTTTCTGGTTCAAACTGGTTTTTAAAATGTTGTTGCCTGAGAAGAGCAATCTTGAGGTCAATGGAGAGTCCAGCAAGGCGGAAATGCTCTGCCACAGGCCTCTGTCTTTTTTGCAGATGATGTGTTCATGCATTCTTGCACTGCGAGATCACCCTGTCTGGCCAATGTAGAGAGCAGACAGACATTATAAGCAGACAAGGGCGCATATGATGTTGCTCAAGTCTTAGGTAAATGAACCTCAAACATTGTACTCCTTGTCATTTGGTCTGGTGATTATTTGTTCTGTATTGATTTGAGAGCACAGCAGGCACTTGGATCCATTGCAAGGCCTGGTGGTTTGATGAGGACAGGAGTTAATCTGTTGCTTGAGAGGTGTTGTTTGAGGTTGGGGGGCCTGTCATTGGGATTTGTCCCCAAAGCCTGCTTCAGAATGGTCATCCTTTTTCAGGAGGGGTTGGAGGCCATTAATGATGTGCCTTAGGATGCTCAAGCTGGGAGCTGTAGGTGACAACCAGAGGGATTCTGTTGTCCCTGTCCCAGGGCTGGTACTGTACCAGTTTGGAGCAAGGTCCAATTCTGGCTTTGTTGATTTGAGTGGCTACAGTTTGGGAATATAATTGTAATTTTAGGAATCCTTGCTCCAGATCCTTAAGGTGTTCATCTTAGTTGGTGGGATCGGAGCAGATACGGTTGTAATGTGCAGCTTGGCTGTAGACGATGGATCTAGTTGTATGCTTCGAGTAAAAGCTGGTAGCATGAAAATATCTGTAGTGGTCGATTTGGTTTCTGATACAGTGTGTTGGCAATGTGGCCATTGAAAAAAGCAGCAGAAAGCTGCCCCTTGAGCCCCCAACCTCCCAGCGCAGTGGTCCAGGCAGCTTCCCCGTCCTACACACTCACAAGGGCACTCCCACTTAGGGAGTAAGCGCACCGCCACACAGGTTTGGTCAAGTGCAGGAATGGGTCTTTGTTGAACTCCGTGAGCATTGAGTTGAGCAGTCACCACCATCCCCTGGTGGTGGTTCAACAGCACCGCAGTGCCTAAAAGGGGAAGGCCATACTTTGAACCCTTCACAGCTTCAGTGCAGACACCTACCCACTTGACCCGGACAACTGTGAACCAGTTTCCAGCTGGTGACAGTCATGGAACAGTTTACATGTTATGTCTGTCTGCACCCTAGGTATCACCTCTGCCTATGTTTTGGGGGTTTTTTTGGTTTTTTTCTTTGGTACACACAGTGCCAATAGTACTGGGAGCCTCGTGTGGTACATTGTAGATAAGCAAGAAACTCTGGAGTGGCAAACAGGAAAGCTATCAAAATGAAGGAGACTCCAACAAAAATGAAGGACTGCACTACTGCTGGAGCGGTTCTGAGTTTGTGTGGGATCCAAGAGGTATATGCACAGGAATGTGCAACTAATATAGCGTGCTGTCTTGCTGGAAGCTGGGAGTGAAATCAAGGCCTCATGGAAGTTGGTGGCAAAATTCCCATTGATTTCACTAGGCCCAGATTTCTCCAAGGGTGTTGAAATGAATCGGTAATAAAACAGCCCAGATTTGCTTTGCTGGCCGGGGCCTTTGGCCAGTGAACGCACAGCTAGAGCCAGCTGTATGAATTCAGGTTTCCAAAGATCTAATACAGTTAGGACAACAATTTGCTAAAGGATACTCCTGGAGCTGGTATTCACATCCTGCTCCATAAACAATTGCAAGATTAACAGAAGAATCGAAAGGTTTATTGCCTCATTAAATAAGAAAAAAATACAAACCTAAGGAAATGAGATCATAGTTTCTCTCTGTATTGTTTTATATAGGGAAATTAAATCATAGCAGCTTAGAACATTAAAAAGATGGCTTCCCAGATCTTGGTTTTCCTTACCCAAGTTCACTGTTAGCAGTAATTATGGAGATGTCTGGAGCAACTCCAAGATATTTTTCTCTTAGATCCCGATGCCTGAAATGTATCACCTTATGTTTCAATTGTTGAATTTTTTAAACTCAAGTTTTAGCATTTTTAATTATGGGAGTCCGTATGTACAGTGGGTGGGAGTGGGAAGGTGGGGACATACAAAAAGAGTTGAGATGATGTAGGGCTGAGTTGCAGGAAGTCACTAGTAGGTCCAGGACCTCTCATCACAACACATGATTTTAAATGAAGTGGATCTTCCCAGCTCTATCACAGGGTCACCATGACTACAAATTTCCCTTTTCATGTTTGATGTGACTCTGAATATCACAGATTCCTGGACTTGGTACTGTGCTGCAAGCTCTTTATTAGACAATATCAGCAAACCAACAATCCTTTTCTTTTCTTCTTCTACTCATCTGAAAGTCTTTCAGCCAGGTTTAGTTCTCTACAGTGGTTCTTTTACCTGTCATGCTAGAGACATGGGGGGCATCTTCTTCCCAGGTCAGCTTTCCTCGCTTGCCTCCCCAAACTTTATGGTTCTCAAAATATATACATTGTATAGACACCTGGGAAATTCCCGTGGGGCACCAGTGTTTTGGGGACCACTGTGTTAAGAGAACTGGCTTAGTATGCATGCAGTACAGTGCCATAGCAAGACTCAGCTCATCACATGAGGAAGCAGTGGTCCTAGGGAATGATTTCAGTTGACAATTAAGCACTATATTCCATAATACCTAACTAAAAGGGAAAGATTAGAAGGAAATCTCATAGACACCAGAGCAGCCAAGCTAATAAAGCAGAAATACATTCTTAATGCAAACAGTTATGTTCTTTCTACATTACATATGTTTGCTTAACCCATTTCATAGTCTTGTTTTGGAAAGGACAGTTCTCCTAAACATAACCCGAACTTCTTTATAAAATCAAAAGCAACTAATAAAAACATACAGAACCACACATTCAGTCCAGTCCAGAAAGAAAATGTAATATAATGCTCACTGAAGCTGTGCTCTCATGCACTGCATACCACAATAAACCCTTGCTGTCCAGCACTGTACAAACACAATGGACAAAAGTAATATGTTCGTTAAAGAACGTCACCATTACACCTTTACTTTTCATTCCATCCAGGAAGAGCACACACCAACTGCTGAAGCTTCCTTAGCCTGACGAAGGGTTTTTGAACCCAAAAGCTTGCTTAATAACTATTCTCCAACCATTTGGGTTGGTCTAATAAAAGATATCAAATTCACCCAAGGAACCTTGTCTGACCATTACACCCAGGAATTTGAGCACTAATCGGCTTCATATGTAGCTAGTTACCACAGAACAAATATAGTAGGTTCCACTAATGAGTCAGGTTTTGTGCACAAGTTGGTAAGTCGTGTTTTCCCCACCATGTGCCCAACTCTGGTCCAAGCCAGAAGATTGCCCTAGGGCCCTCTGATTTGGGGGGAGGTTTGGATTAGATATGAACACCACAGCTTGACCTCTGCCCCTCCTACTGACAATTGCATCCTGTATGTATGGTGTGCATGTATGGGTTCATGCCTCCTGATGCAACAGGCTCCACCATCAGTTTGGC